GTGTGTGTGTGTGTGTGTGTGTGTGTGTGTGTGTGTGTGTAAGCTGTAGCTCTGATTACCTTGTTTAGTACTATCTTATTTTAAATACTAAACCCTTCAGAGTAACCCCAAGTATAGTTGTCCACCTCATGCAACTGCTATCTCATCTCCAGATATATTCCTGGCTACCAACTTTAATATGCAATCTGATGAGAAATATGACATGGCAAAGGTCAGAACTAAACTCCATATGATCCAGCCATCTCGCTGTTTGGTGAGTGAAAAGAGCAAAAGAAATCAGAATGCCATACAGAAAACTGCTCTCTACCATCTCCATTTACTGCTCACTGTAAAATGTGGACTCAACATTAAGTGTCCACCAAGGGACTAATGGATACGTACTGTTCAACCATTAAAAGCAATATAATCTATCATCGGGGGCAACATGGATGGGATATGGAACATTATTATTGTATGTTTCTTTTGAGAGAGATTTTTGCTACAGGGCATGTGTGCTCGCCAGAGAGACAGAAAGATAGAAAGCAATAAATCACCCTGCAGAGGGGATGGCTACACCCCAATACCTCTCCTCCATTCTCCTCCTGTGATGTTGGGGTCGCATGCACATGCACATGGTGTGAGTTTAAGCCAACAAGTCCAGAAATCAAGCCATCCTCACCTAAGTGGGAGTCTAGCAACTTAACCATTATGCCAACTGTTGGTCCCAAGAACATTATATTAAGTGACATTACCTAGCCACAGAAAGTGAAGAATCCTGATGGCATAATTATACCAATGTCAATGGCATCCTCAATTCCTTTTCAGATGAACTACAGTGTTCTAGAATTGAATGCATTAACAAACTACATTCAAGAACATTCACTCAAGTCCTTTTCAGATGAACTACAGTGTTCTAGAATTTAATGCATTAACAAACTACATTCAAGAACATTCAAATGTAAGACATTTTATTATTTTTGCTATAATTATTCTAGTATAAGAAGAACCATTAGTTAAAATCTTTAAATTCTTATTAAGAAGGTATACAAATATTTTAAGAAGTTTATTATATACTAATAATGTGACATTACAATGCCACTATAATTACCATGTCAAAAACTTTTGAACACTGGAAAAAGCATAAATAACTATACACTACAATTTTTTGTTAAGTATTTTAGTGGAAACCGAGAGAGAATACTATGCTATCAAAATATTTCTCTTTAACACATTTGTCAGTGACTCTATTACTTGCTTATTTCTCAGACTGTAGATAATTGGATTCAACAAAGGTATGATGACCACATAAAACAGGGAGTCTGTCATATCTCCTTCATCTGCTGCTGGAGATCGAGGGCGCACATACATAAAAAGAAGAGGGCCATAGTATAAAGACACAGATAAGAGATGGGCTCCACAGGTCGAAAAGGCTTTTTTTATGCCTTTGGCAGACTTCTTTTTTAAGATAGTAAAGAGAATGCATGAATACGACACAAAAACAGTTGTAATGGTAAATACCTGAATTGAACCAGCAAAGATAAAAATCATTAAAAAACTAATAGAGGGATCAGAACAGGAAATCTTCAGCAATGGGATAATGTCACAGTAAAAGTGATGTATTATGTTGGAATTACAGAAGGTTAATCTGAATACAAGCCCTTCATGAAGGAAAGCGTGAAGAAGGCCACCCACAAATGACAAAACTAACAATCGCGTGCAGAGTCTGTTGGTCATAATCATGGGATAAAGTAAGGGTTTGCATATGGCTACATAGCGATCATAGGCCATTGCTGCTAAGAGGAAACATTCTGTGGTTACAGCGATTACAAAAGAAAAAAATTGTATCATGCATTCAGAGAGAGAGATGATCTTACTCTTCACTAAGAAGTTGACCAGAATCTTTGGGGTCACTGTGGACGACATCCATGCATCTACAAAGGCTAAATTCCCAAGGAATAAGTACATGGGGATGTGAAGGTGAGGGTCATTCCAGATGAGAACAATCAGACCAAGGTTTCCCACCATGGTTATGAGATATATGACCAAGAACAACAGAAATAGGGGGATTTTCCACTCTGGTTGATACATAAGTCCCGTGAGAATAAACTCTGACCACATTGTTCCATTTTCCTTTTCCATGTTCTTACTAGATGTCCCCTAAAATGAAAGACACTAATTATCAAGATAATACTCACTTTATGTAATCATTAGTTTAAATTGTGGGAGGAATGTTGAGAAGAACTATACATTTATTAGAGCCCCCATAATTTTCTTTAGTTTTAATGTTATATATAGAAACTCTCTGTAGGATATTTGAAAAAGTTTTAAATGATATTTGATTATTGAAAAAAAGTTCTGAATTAACATTTTCAGAAAAAATCTATTGTATAATTAGCATGTGTTAAATATAATAAAACATAAACTCATAGAAAAAAATTTAAAACTACCATGATACAGGTTCAAGGGAAAGGTAATTTGAAGTTGAGAATTATAAAAGGAATTGAAAAATATTTAAATATTCTTAATGTTTATTCTACAGGCAATAAGCATCCTTGAAAACGTCTAAGATCAGGAGTAGCATTGTAGATAGTTTTTAAATTATTCATTTTGTGGGGCGAAAAACAAAGAGCTAGTTGGGTTAATAGGAGTTAGTTAACGATAATCAGAAAATCTCTACCAATTTCCAGCAATTCCCAAAGCAGATTGTGAGCAAGAATTCTCTGGAAAATGAATTTGTGAAAAATATCAATTGTTCAGTTTTAGTGTAGAAATAGAAAAGTTGCTCTAGGACAAAGATTAAAAATCTGCATTTTGAAATGTTCCTAAGGTTATTCAAGTGCATGTGAAGTGATTAGACTAGGTGTGATATGTTAGAGTAATGAGGAAGATAAAAGGATATTTCAAAGAACTCCCGATCTAGAGTCACTACAGTTTAGTTATGTTACACATGGAGGTGATCATTGCATAAGAGAAGGGTGAGTGTGTTACTGGGAAGATGTTCATCGAAATTTGCCTAGAGTCTGTGATTCGGTACAGTGTTTCAAAGAACTGTCTACCACAGAGTTGACCATATTTTGAATCTTGTTCTGGTGGCAAAAGAAATATGCTTGTGTGTTTTGTGTGTCATGCGCAAAATCATAATGGAAAAGACAAATGGAGGAAAAAAGGTTGTGGCCTGACTATATCCCATTGGAGTGGGTACAAAATCATAATGTAAAAGACAAATGGAGGAAAAAAGGTTTTGTGGCCTGACTATATCCCATTGGAGTGGGTGCTTTTGTGTGTCATGCGCAAAATCATAATGGAAAAGACAAATGGAGGAAAAAAGGTTGTGGCCTGACTATATCCCATTGGAGTGGGTGCTTTCTCTCTCTTGCTCTTTCTCCCTTTATTTCTCTCTCTATCTCTATCACACTCAACAAGCACAGGCACTCAGTAGCATTTTTTTCTAATGTACTTAAGAGCTCAGATATGCTATCGAGTTTGTGGAGTGATCATCTTCTGAACAATCAAGTGAGATATAGGAATCTACTAGACCTTAATCAAAAATGACTTGCAGTTTTTGTGGGAGCTGAAGGCACAGTTAGGGATGATCTAATATCCCTGGACTGGACACAAAGGAAGATGATCAAGAAAATAAATCTGAAGGAATTATACCAGGAAGGAAAAAGAAAAGAATGCCCATTGTTAACAAAATGGTAAGAAATTGAACTTGCTTTTTTTACCACTAGAGTATTGGGTTATGGGAGAGTTTACCTACCACTTTAAACACAAAACGAACTGAAAAGTCACTTCTCATTCCTTTTGTTTCTAGATTGAAGAGATACGATCTATGTTGGCCAGTGAAGTACATCAACAGAAGGTGATGGGGACACAAGGAGAATGAAAGAAAATGTACGGAAACAAAGCATACTGGGGCTGAAAAGCAGCCATGGCAGCAATACCAGGATTTGATCTAATGCATCCTACGTCCACATCTGTGGCATCTACAGTGAGGCTCTGTCACCTGAAGTGCAGTGGCAGTAAGAGCAGCCATCTCTGAGCCACGGCTTGGACATGAATTTGACTATTCCCTGGCTGCCTCATTTCCTCCTGTCTTTCACTTTTCTTGCTGAATACCCCTATCTTTATAGCATGTCTATGTAGAGCCAAAAACTATTCAATAAACTCATGGAAGTAAAGGTACTGCGGCATGGCAATTCCCCCGGGGGGTGATGGGGGCTGATATCTTGCTTTCTGTCTCTCTGTTTCTGTCTTTCTGGTGAGCGCACATGCCCTACAGCAAAAATCTCTCCAAAAAAAAAAAAGCTATCTCCATATGTTTTAGTGTTTAGGCCAGAAAATAATTTTAGTGAATGTGAAACAAACAGAAAAACAATGAAGGAAATGATATGAAAACAAAACAAAACCAGAAAACTAAGAAATATAGAGAACAGTTATGGTTTGATTACTGTCATAAAAAAACTAAGAAAGAGAACAGTTATGGTTTGATTACTGTCATAAGCAAAGGCACGATTTGGTTGTGTATTTTTTTCTGGAGAGGTTTTTTTTGGAGAGGTTTTTGTTTGTTTGTTTGTTTGTTTGTTTGTTTGTTTTTTGCTATAGGGTGCATGCACTCTCCAGAAAAATAGAGAGAGAAAGCGAGAACTCACCCTCCAAGTGAGGCATGACCATTCCACAATCCCTTCTCCTCCATTCTTCTTTCGGGATCTTGGGCACACATGCACATGCGCCCATCGTGAATTTAAGCCGCCAGGTCCAGGACTCGAACTGCCGTCAATACATGGAAATCCAGCGACATAGCCATTATGCCAACTGCTGGTCCCCAATTTGGTTGTGTATTAAACATTATGGTAAATTTTTAGAATAGGAGAATGCATAAAGACAGTGAAGAAAAAAGGGCAGAGTAAATAGGAAAGGCAAATTGAGAGAATAAAAATAGAAGAGAGATGCTACAGATCTGGAGCACGGGTACCGAGAGAAAGGGGTTACAGCATGACGAGATGCTACAGAGGGCACCTCTCTCTCTTTCATGTGCACATATGCCATATCTATCTACACTCACACATACAACACATGCACATATACATACACAGATATTTTGTGGCTAATTTTAAGGAATTTTTAAAAATATAAGTATACTTACTGTGTTATCAGATTGTCGGAAGGTCATGACAAATTCTTGCATAGAAAAATATGTCATGACTTTTCTGACAACTTGATATTTCCTCCATGAGTGAGAGAGATAAAGAGAAACAGATAAAGAGAGAGATAAAACGAAACCTAATCAATCAAAGTTTATGGACACATGTGGCTGGCAAACTCATGGAGGTCTCTAAACACAAACCCAAACCTTTCCTCTGTGAGTCAGCCTTTCAGAGAGTTGTTTTACCATGGTGCCATCATATAGTCTTTTAAAGTAGTAATCAAACAAAGCAATTAATTTAAACGTATGGGTCTGCATATAAGAATCATCCAGAAATACTTATTGTGAAAAATTATGACCTGAATTATTAAGATGGCTCTTAATTTTTTAATGTTCTAGTGCTCCACAAGATATATGATAAAACCATATTTAAGCTAAGAAAATATGAAAATGGCATTAAATGAACAAATCAGTCTTACCACCACCTTATTATTTATTCCATTGTACTAATGAATATAATATACAGAGACAACCAATGAGAGGTCTCCAATTGCAACATACCTAGTTTGAAAATTTGTAAACCAAATTTGAAGTGAAAATAAACAATATTTTAAAAATTATAAAGAATAATAATTATTGGGACCAACAGTTAGCGTAATGGCTATGTCGCTGGACTCTATGTAGTCAACCATGGTTCTAGTCCCAGACCCGGTGGCTTAAACTCACGCTGGGCACGTGTGTGCCCAAGATCCCGAGAGGAGAATGGAGAAGAAGGGATTGCAGCATGGCCATTCCCCCTGGGGGTGTGATTTTCCCCTTTCTGTCTCTCTGTCTCTCTCTGTCTCTGGTGAGCGCACACGCCCTATAGCAAAAACCTATCCAAAAAAGAAAAAAAAAGAATAATAATTATTATAAAAATCATTTCTTACTTACCCATATCTTGAAAAGAAATTGTGGAGATTTTTAAAAAGTAATAAACTTTCTAAAGTAGAATAAAATACAATAGAATAAGAATTTCAATAACACAGGTAGCCATTCTTCACAAGCCAACTCTTTTCAGAGACATTGTTTCCCTAACTTGGGAAATGTCATTTATATAAATTTGCTTGAACACAGAGATAACCAATTGTACAAGGCTGTGCATTTGTCAGAAGAACAGAGCAGAGAACTGAAATTTCCATAAGAGCCCTGAGGATTCAGTGTAGGACACAAAGAAGCTGTTCTACTGGGCATTGTTGATTTGTTTGAGAAGTTCAAGTTTTCCCCAAAGGCATAAACACCATTCTGGAATCACAAACCCATTTCACTGTAGACAGTTCCAATTTTAACAGTTGAAATAACACTTTACATCACTATTTTCCACTACAGGTGATACATCTGACATTTTCTGCAAGCTTAGTTTTGTATGTGTTTCAGTTTTTTGGGTTTTTTTTTTTTTTGGCTGTTAATAACAGAAAATATTTCAGTCACAGTAATTTAAGAGAATAGATATTTATTCAGCCCACAGTTAAGGTGTCTATGATTCAGAGTCCTATCTGGTGTAGGTCTTCTGGTTTTATCACAATGTGAAAAAAGGCAGAAGAGCATAGTCTATACTCCATGTGTCTCTCCTCTTATAAACCCAGAACAAAATTTAGGGATCCACCTTGATGATTTTAATCTTAATCTCCCAAATGTCCTAATCATTGACAATATAATACTATCATGTTTTGGTCCTCTTAATTCCATTACAATGGCTGGTGCATGAATTTAGGGGACATATTTAATCAATAGCAATATAAAAATTTTATTCTTAATGCTTCCATAGAGTGTTCTTGTCTGAGAAAATGAAAACATGTTTTTCATAAGGCCAAAGTTTTAGATTCCCTTTAGATGCCAAATCCAAGAACAGTTGTTCTCTTCATCAAACTGCAGCTAAATTCTACCTCCCATACTTTATGCTGAAATCTGTTCGGAAATTTTACTAAGCAAGTTTCAGGGAAAGGAAAAATGGAAAACA